GTGGTGATTGACTCTAACTCAGGACATTATATATGTCCATTTGATTTCAAATGAATACTCTGAAACTACTGTGGATTTCTTTATATTCAAAACTGATTGGTTTCTTGTTATTTGAATAGCTTGTTGCATCATCAGAAATGTTTTCAAGTAGCAGACTGAGAGCTGGCACACCTTCTTTTGACCCATAACAACAATGAACAAATCGCTAATGGAAATTATGTGCAGATGTTTCATATAATTCCTAATATGACGTGTGATTTCACTCGTTAAGCTTTTCCTGTTGTTTGTGCGTATGTGTGCGCTAAGTTCAAAGTCGATTCGCCTGTGAGCTGAAATCAATATTGCATCATAGTGTTTACAACCATGATCCATGATGTGGCTGTGAGAGGTCAGAGCAGTGAGCTCTGTCTGATCAAGTGATCAGCCATAACTCCTTTTATCCGTCCTTCTGCCGTCATCCTAATTCTCACAGAATGCTCATCCACGTGTCACATCCTGTCATACTCGACTCACTGAATACCTCGTGTCAATCTTGGGATGTCACAGAGTCATTCCTGCTGTGTACTGCTTTTGATTCTCTGAGTTAATTAGCTTGATATAAACTGCTTTCTGTTGGCTTCCGGCCTGGAAATAAATTGAATTTGGAATGATTCAAATCAGTTGGATAGACTGTAGTTTGCAGCTGCCACACCGTAAAAGTTTAGAACTCAAAGGACTTTATGTTTGCTTAAGATTATCTTTTAGCTCGACTAGGAACAACACTGATTATTGTGCTTAAAATGTTCAAAAAAGGTCTTGAAAAGTGTCAAAATTATGAAGATTATTGTTTTTGTTCAATTTGAATGTAAAATGAATGTGCATATGCTTTGAACCTGAAAAAGACTTTTCTATTTAAAGTTGTTGTCCTGATCACTTTGTTTGTTCTTCGTTAAATTTAATCACACAACATTTACGTGAATAATTAAGGAGAGAAACAGATCGATACATTGAAATTGCCGTTTAAACAGTGTTGTTAGAGCAATTTATTCATGCTTGTTGGATCCTTGTCAACGTTTGATCATTAATCACTGGAAGCATTTGGTTTTTGCCAAGACTTCTCTGTCTTCTACTATCTTCAGATTGGAATACTAGCTTACTGCTTACTGAATACAGGACGGTTTACACTGGTTCTGTTTACACGCGGCATTACCTTGTGTTTACATTTGTCCACATCAGTTAGCTTCTGTAACCAGATAACAAGTCGGATCTCTTTTCCCCGCACAAAAAAATGTGCCGCGATTAACTAAACATAAAGTAGAGTGTATTATATTTAGATGTACTTCTGCTGCATTAATGGTTTCTATTTACAACGTTTTTTTCAGCATTGAGAATTATAGCCAATCACAAGCGTGTCTGTTTAGCACATAAAGGAATGGCCAATCAGAGCAGATCCTGCTCACAAATAGTTTTGTTCAGCGCATGCTAATTTCTTGTTCTCTTGCAAATGCTCTCATTGTAAGCAATAAATTGTAGACACAATGTAAATAAGATCTTATTATAAAAGCAGTGTTCTTTCTCTTCATGTAAAATTTAAAAAAAAACTTTCAAAACCCCTCTGCAGTCCGTGGAGTGATTTAGGTATCTTTTATGGTAAGAAAGGATGGTTAAAGGTGTGCTAATATACACTCACAGTTTTCTGAAGTACTACTGAAAGATCATGGTCCTAATCTTTACGGTAAATCTATTGCTAATATAATGGTGTTCGGGACACCGTCTTTAAGAGTTTTTAGGCTAAGGTGTGTCATATTTTGTTTTAGTTAGAAATAAAAATGATTTTATAGGGATGCACTGTTATTGACATTCTGGCGGATACTCATAATCAAATAATAATTTTCTCACTGATAACTGATAAATTATGTATAATTGTCTCAAATAATTTAAAATAAAATTAGGCATCACAACATTGTAATGAAGTACAGTATGGAAAATTGGTATGAGACCTGCTAAAGATGACAGTGTCATTAAATTATGAGTGTTTTTAAAGATTTATTTTAAGTGATGGTAATCTAAATGTAAACATACGGGAAATTACAATGCACAATTAAATATCCAATTTTGGCCAATATGTATTTTAATAGTGATTGATTTATGTTGACTGATGATGACTGATATTATATTGCATTTTAAGCCATTTTTAAGCCATTAAAATATATGATTCATTCATAACACAGGAAATGGTGGGTCAAATTGAGAGTATTACATCGTGGGATACAGTGTTTCAGTGTGCTCTGTTGTATACTGCATACTTGTATACTTTGATATTAAGAAATATTTGGAGAAGTGATCACCCCCGCTTGTATGTTTACATAATTTGTGCAGTTTCTAGATGTATAAACTAAAGCTGTCAGTCACAATCCCTGAATTCTGCAGTGGAGCAACAAGGCAAAGAGTTTTGCTTGCATTACCATGTTCTTAGTCTGGGAATCCTTGTCCCAGGAGGACCACACAACTACTCCAATTTCATGCATTTATTTAAGTCCAAATGAAAGTAAATGCCATCAGGCCTGCTCTAAATCTCAGAGTGACATAGCGCTGCTAAGCACTCCACCTGATACACTGATACAGGATGATGAATGAGTGTCACAGCAAATCCAGTGGCTTGTTCAACACAGTATCTGCATCAGCTAAGATTAATGCTGCCATCCCTCAGCTCTCCTGCAGCCATGGTTTATGAGCCAAGCGCACAAGCCTTTCTTTGTACTATTGACTTTCTCTAAAAAACGCACCTGAAATACAACATGGATCTCACCTAACACTGCTCAGACAGCTTCTTTTAAAGCAATGAATCTTCAAGAGTTTTTTGGGGGGCTTAGAGCCTGGTCGTGGCACACCTGTAACAGTTTTATGGATGGTTTTATTACAAATAGTCATTTTTTAGGTGTTAACATTTAAAGATTTGAAATTACTTTAAAATCTATTATATGGCCTTTTGACTTTTCTTTCTTGAATAGACATATTTTGTACTGAAACAGGAAGAGAGGGTGGGACATGTCAAAAGGCTCATCCTTAGTTGAGCGTATACAATCGGCTTAAGTAGAAGAGCTGAACTTAGGCTATAAACAAACTACATCACGGTCACATGACTTCAACGTCACCACCATTAAGTCTCTGACAACTCTTTCAGTCTTTATTTAAAAACATTTTCCGTTAGAATCATTTCCAAGATTATGAGACGCAATGAGGATGTAAAAGCGGACTAGTGAATGGATGAGTTTCCTGTTCGGCATGATGATGTTTCATTTCCTTGACAACCTCTGTAGTCCCATTTAGCCACATGTTAGCAACCACCTTTTTCAAAGCTTTAAAAAGTCACAAGATGGTATTACTGATATGTTTTATGTTGTAGAACAAAACGTGAAAATATCTTGAGCTTGTAATCACCATCACCACACACCCTACTTCAGGCATTTAACCAAAACCCTTTTAAAAACATATTGACTTCAGGACGATGGAACGGGAAGGTGGTATGGAGAGGCATTCTCATTCTAGAAAGAGTTTGATTGGATAAAAAGTTGGGGGTGAGTGTCATCAACATTTTTGGTCCATTTCCCTAGCCTAGATGATAAAGACTGTAAGGATTTGTGCAAACTTTTAGCTGTACACTAGCATATTGATGGCTTCAAATCGAATAGATAAGCACCAAAAACCACAAAAGTTTAATTTTGAATTCATGAGGTCTTTAAAGAATGTTTTATGTCTGCAAATGTGACTGGTGACCCCATAGCAAAGGAACACAAACCAGTTCTGTGTTGTCTTTGTGTCTTGACAAGGCATTTAATAAAAATGGTTGCCGTGTTCCTGACTGTGTCTCCATCCTTCAGGAAGGTTGGCCACATTGTATCCATCAATCCGGCCTCCTGTCATCCCAGCACAGCTAAATTAAATCAATGTCTGAAACCAGAGACAAGGCTTCAACTGCAGCAACAGAAATAGAAAATCTAGTTTTGCTGTCTGCTAATGATATTAGTACGTTCCTAAGTGGCCGCCCACCGTCGTCGGACAGGAACACAGGAGAGATATAATTACAGCCCGAACACTTGCATCTCCATTTACTGGTAAAACACATGGGGATCTTACAGTGTTTTATAGATTACCCTTCCCCCCATCTATCCACACTCGTCCTGCAGGTAATGATTCATTTCTAGGCAGTATTATGTTATCCACTGTAATTAAACTTCTCAAGGTGAACCCAAGGAGAATCGGAGACCGCATCATATTGACCATGTGAGAAATTCATTAAAAGACCAGTGTCAATGTCATATGAGACGCTGTTTCATTTTTCGATGACAGAGGAGCGTGGGGTATTTCAACAGAAAAGCGGATGTGTTTAATGAGTTCATTGTGTAACCTTCCTACTTGCATGGACGTTTCTGTTGTACAACAGATTGAGATAAGAAGCAGATCAATAAGGGAAGATTTGATGGAGTTAATTGCAAACTATTGAAGGCATCATGAGTGCCAGAGAATGGTCCTCTTTTATCATTTAGAGAGAATCAACAGCCAAATGTTGCTTTACCAAATGCACTGGCAATGTATTATTTTCTTTTAAAGCAGAAATGTGAAGTTTATAATCTTATATTACACTTCCATTCATTCTTTTTATTTGAGCTGTAAAGTTGTTGTCGTTTTTATGGTCATTTTTGGTGTAAAGTTTTATGAAAACAAAGTTGTTAAGTTGGATTTTCAAACCTTTTAATTATTTATGCAAGCAATTAATTATTATAATGTTTTTTTTTTTTTTTTTTTGGAAAAGTTGGAACAAGTCGATTGAGCTCAGCATTTATTGAACACATTTCTTTAATGTTTATGGGAGTGATTAAATTACTCAGATTTATTCATTGGTGACGGGTGTATTGAGGATGAGTAAGAAATGTTTAAAAGTAGGCTTTAGTCAAAAGTTATCAATGGCTGGAATCAAACTGAACTGACGAATCTCCACATTTGATGTGTATTTTGGACAGGTTCACTTGGACTGTATTTTCCTCAAAGGGTGTACATTGAGAGCATCTACGTGGGTCAGCCGCAGGGATCACCAGTGCTTCAGGTCCATTCAATGCTGGAAAGCTCTACAGAGAGGCCCTATTTCTTCCTGTGCTCCCACAGAGACACTTATGCATCATGGTTTCACATGGATGAGGCATCTGGGGTCCTTTCAATGAACAAAACCCTGGAGTGGAGCGACTTCAGTAGTATACGTAAGTTTGACATACAACTTTATTTGCTTGAATGCTTCCTTATATAGCAGTTTCGTCTGTATACATTTAATTTATATACAAACTTTTTATTTCAGAGTGTGAACTATTGTACTTTTGCTCAATATTTTGCTGACATAATCACATCATCTATTACAGAACATTGTTTTGATGTCAAAAAAATAAAGCAGACTGAGGCATAATTTTTATGCTTAACGTGTACATACTGCAAATAAAGGTTTTTTCTTTTTCCCCCAGTAAGAATATCTAAACATGCTTAAAACATATTTCATTTGATTTAACTAAGATAAATTTACTTGAGATCCAAAAAGATAATAAATCTCTCTTTTTTTTAGAGAATGTCTTCATTAAGTTTACAAATTGCATTTCTCCTTTATGTGTATCTCACTAAACTAAAATGTGTTAGATTCATGCTTAAAACAAGAAATAAAATTCCATTGAGTTATTAAGTCTTAATTACTCTCTTTATTAAGCATTACAACTCTTAAGCAATTTTGCTTCAAAAGTAATTTATTTGTTAACACTTTAGTTTAGGGTCCAATTTTCACTATTAAAGTTGCTTAATGCATATTACTACGATTTTGTCTGTTTACTTATAAAGCACATATTAATGCCTTATTCTGCATGATCCTATTCTACATCCCTTAATCCAATTTCTAACCAATACCTAAACTTACAACTACCTTTCAACTATTAATAAGCAGTAATTAGGAGTTTATTGAGGGAAAAGTCATAGTTAATTAGTTAATAGTGAGAACTGGACCCTAATCTAAATTGTGACCATTTATTTTGTTTTAAGGACGTGTAGATATTTTTTCTAGGAAAATTACTTTTGTAGCCAAATGTAATGTTACTATGTATATTTACAGACAGTGTTTATAGAGAGCCTTGTCATGTGAACAGTGGGATAAATGACACTCTAAAGGACTCAAAATCATGCCTCGTGATATCTCTCCTCCAGGTAGCAGCTCGGGCAGGTCCAAGAAGGATCTCAACCTGAAGGTCGGAGTCTCGTCAGTGCCCCTGCAGAAAGTGATGTGCACGTTCCTTCCCACAGTGGAGGTCAAACTGGTGTTCATTAATGACACAGCGCCCTCCTGTGGTCAGGTCGATCTGAGCACGTTGTGCTACCCTGATAAGGTTTCAAACCCCCACATCACAGAGAACCGTATGGCAGGGGCCTTGCGGCAGCTCCGGCGCTATACACGCATGAGCATTTGCCCCAACTACACCATCACTTATGGAGTGGAAGCAGGTACAAACCGAACCCAGTGTAAATGTCAATGCTTTTCTGCATATCACAGCACTGTAGCAAATTAGCCCAAAAGGAAATATTAATAATTATATTATAATATATATATATATATAATATTATATAATTACAACTAGTTAAATTTCATTATAAATATTTAGATCAGCTGTAAGAATTAACTTGATGTAGCAGAATTCATACCCCTTATGAATTCTTAATGCTTAATGTGCTTAATGTGGGATGCTTAATGTGAAATAATGGGACAAAGTTTGATACTTGCATGTCTCACCCATTTGAATAAAAGTGTATTGATGCAGTTTGTTGAGGCTCCAGTTGATCTTTGCTGAATTTGTCTTGATGAGAGAGAACCAGTTTGAGTCAGAGGATCTTTGGTGAATAGAGAAAGAACTTCTATAGCTCAGCGTCATCATCACAACAGCATTTCTCAGAATCCTTGTGATCTTGTGATCAGTGGTATTTAAACCGTAAGGATGTCACACCTCTTGTGGGTCAGTGAGCCAATGGTATCTTAAACTTTTGAAAGGGAAAGTTTATGATCCTTGGTCTTCTAGCAGGGTGTTTTGCATATGGAATTTGCTTTGAGAAAATATTAAAGATTCTTATAATACTAATATGCTGGATAGGTATCAACATATAATTTAAATCAGGGGTCTCAAACTCAACTTAACTGGGGGCCGCTGGAGGTAGAGTCTGGGTCAGGCTGGGCCGCATCAAGTATTCCACAAAAAAATAGTATTCAAGTATTCCAAAAAAGGAGCACAACTGATCCAATCTTCTCAATATTTATTATTAACGTTTCTTCTGAACTGTTCCTCTGAATTTGAACATTCCTTTCTGTACATGATTGGTTCTTCATGAGCTGTCCTTCTGACAGTTGAAGTTCATTTTACAAACTTTCTTTGTCTATAACACATATTTGTGATATTTATATTTGCTTATGTCCTTTTTATTTTCTTTATACAACACATTAATGATATTGAATGTTTTTTTTTTTTTTTTGGAAGGCACATTTCCTTTTATTATACTTAGAAAAACAATTATTGCTTTTGAAATACAAATATTTGCAGTCATGTCTGCCCGTCTTATTGAATTCTTTCTACACATGTATAGTGTCTCAAATTACTGACTGCACAAATCAAAGCAAACCTTCTTATCAACCTGTTGGACACATGTTACAAGCTCAAAATGATTATTCTCACATTGGTTTAGAGCAGGGTCTCTCTCCAACACGTCCCTCGCGAGCTACCAGTAGCTCGTGGTCTGATTGGTGGCAGCTCGCCAAGGGGCCGTTCACATATCGCGCTCACATATTTTGCGCGCTCAAGTTCGTTATTTCAAATGTAGGCGCGCGGTAAGCGCGCTCATAATTTAAGTGACGCGCTCATTTTTTCCAGGCGCAGTATGTTTGTACTTCGCGGTTGTCTATGACAACTATTGACAACAAACCCAACGTGTCACGAGACTATCTATGGTAGCCCATAAGGGATAAAAAAATATATATATTTTTAAAACGCGGCACACGCAACGACGGGCCGCACTAACATTAAACTTTAATGTCAAGTAGGGGGCCACAAAATATCACCCTGCGGGCCGCAAATGGCCCGCGGGCCGCGAGTTTGAGACCACTGATTTAAATGATCATTCAGGAATTTAAAATAGAAACTCATAGATACCAAACATGGTATACATGTGATCTTGATTAAGTAAGGCTAAAACATTCATTCAAAGAGTTTAGATTAATACACAAAACACTATAAAAGAACATGATTACATAGGACGATTGGATACATGACTATTCATATTTCAAGTGTTCATATATAGAGAGGCTGTAGGATTAGGATGGACTGTATAGACAAATGGTATATTTAGAGTGAAACTACATTCCTTTGATTTGTAAACCAGTCTTATTTTGAAGATTTGTCTTTGTTACCATGGTAAACAGAATATGGTGTTAGCTGCAGTTCAGGGTAGTTCCATAGAACTCTACCTCATGGTGTGCTCGTTTGGTGAGGGGTATTGTGGATTATTTGTCAAATATAACAAATAGCTATGTGTCTGATCTGTCTTAGCACAGTGAGATTAATTTTCTGTTATTGCTTGTATTCAATTCAGAATCTCCAGTTCCATTTGCGGTCGACAGCTCCACTTCAGAACTGGTGGTCACTGCACCTGTGGACCGTGAGGAGAAGGAAGTGTACCATCTGGATATTGTGTGTATGGTACAGACAGAAGAAGAGGTGTGGAAGTACTTTACTTCTCTGCACTTGAACATCTATGATGAGGATGATAATCCTCCTTACGTGAATGGGACTGACAGTGAGGACATCATAATAGAATTCAACCGCAGCGAGGTGTGTATCAGGCACTGTAACCACAACTATCTGGGAGACTTTTTGAGTTTATATATGAAGTATGAGAGTGAGTTAATAATGGTAATCTGTTTTCTTTTATAGGGTACTGTCTATGGAACTCTGTTTGTATATGACAGGGACACAACGCCTGTTTATCCCACAAACCAAATTCAAAACAAATTGGTGGGCACCTTAATGACGAATGACTCCTGGATCAGAAACACTTTTACTATTGAACACAAATTTAGGGAAGAAAGGGCCATTTTTGGCAATGTCCGTGGGACGGTTCATGAATACAGTGAGTAAAAAAAAAATAGTTTTAACATTGCACAGAGTAATTTTTCCTTATTGATTTTTTTGTTACAAAATTATTTTTTTTCAAATTTGAATTTAAAACTTTTTGACAATGTGAAAAACCATGTACACATACATGCGATGAAGCCTCCAGTAGCCTAATGAAAGTAGTTTAACTTTATATGGAGTGGATCGCCTAATTGGGGCCATGGATCCGCCAAATAGTAACTAACCTACATCAGCTTTTATACCTCCTGAGTGGAGAGCGGAGCATTTTAGTTGCTGCAGACCGCACAACTGACTGATCTAAAACCTTCATATCGTCTCTGTAAATGGCCGAAACCACTCACTAAAACTAAAACGCCATTGTGAGTCCTGAAAATTTACAGGTGTGTGTTCAGTTAAAAGATGCAGTTGTCACTCTCTTTAATAAACAAACTGTTTGTGAACCTAAGGCTGAAAAACACTACACAATTTTTTTCCAGATTCTTGCCCTGATTTACAGTCTGGAGGAGTCAACGCTAGTCGACTCAGAGACACTTTGCAGAATATGTCCAGTCATAATTGAGATTTAAAGAAAATCATGTATTGTGTGATGTGTAGTTTAGCTTCAGACTTTGATTCCATCCAGTCTGAGGATATTAAACACGTTTGATATTTTGAGCTGATTTTAGATCACATATTGTTTTCATTTGTCATGCACCTTCAGCTTTTCTTTGTATATGAAGTTTCTGATGCCTAGTGTTTTGAAATTTGTTCAGTCATGCATAGTGTATTCCATCCTTAACTGTTTAAAGCTCTGAAATACAGGACTGTTGCTGTATGAATTTGACCTATAAGTCCAAAACGACTGTCATTTGAGCCGATGAAACTATTACTGAGTGCACTTTTAATAATTGAATAGCTTTTTTAAACATAATATACAGCATTGTGCTTTATTCTGTCTGCCCTCAGAGCTAAAACTCAGTCAGAATCTGTCTGTGACGGAGCAACGTTCATTTCAGTTGGACTACCTGGTCAATGACACCACTTTTCCGGGCCCCGAGGGAACAGTGCTGTTACATTTCAATGTGACTATCCTGTCGGTTCCTATTCGCTTCTCCAATATCACCTACTTCTTCACTGTCTCAAAGAAAGCAACGACATACTCCCAGGTGCTTTAATGATGTTTTTATTCATTTTGAACATGTGCAAGCAGGAGTAGAGAAGTGCTATTATAAATATTAAAATACACAATATTAAATATTAAAGAAACAGACTCCTGAAGAAAATACCAGTCTTCGCAAAAGAACACTGTTTTATATAGTGAAAAGAAACATTTTAGGTAAGCTTAGAGTTTATGAAATGTCATGTCAAAGCTGGTACAAATTCAGTACCGGTACATATAACATAATACGGCTTTTTAATCCCTATTGCTGTGACAAGAAATACTAAATCAATCACATTTCACTTGTATCAATACATTTCGATACCCCTGTTTTCAAGTGCATGTGGAATTATGTTTTGTTGTTGTTTGTGCTTTTTTATTTTATTTGACAATTTTCATATAATAAGTGAAATTACAATTCCCTTCACATATTACTCCAGATGATCCCCACTTATGTGTCATTTGTGTCTTTATTAGATTGGAGAAGTATGTGTGGACAACTGTCTGAAGTTTAAGGGCATTGATGTCACATATCAGTTAGAGATCGCAGACAGGAACATCTCTGCTGATGCTCAGTCGTGTTACATGGCAGTTAGCCTTGCACAGAACCCAAATGAAAAGACCGGTGTGCTCTATGTGAATGACACTGAGGTGTTACGCAGACCAGAGTGCCAAGAGCTGCAGTACGTGGTTATTGCTCAGGAGCAGCAGAACAAGTTTCAGCCCAAGACTCAGCTCGTCATCATTTTTGAGGGTGAAGGTAAGGTCAAAAGTTTGCAAGAATATGTCCATGAAAACCGGTCATGAACCATAGGTGTGAAAGCAACAGTGTTGATCCAGGTGCTAGTGGGATTGTGATTTTGTGCTCCGCTTTTTCCTATCTGACTGTGCCGTGTAGCAGATCTCATGAGGATGGATGAGCTGCGGGTTTTGGCTTGTGCAGAGAAGAGGCAGCGAGGGGAGTGTGAGGCGTCTCGAGGCCTGGGAGCCCCTACAGGCAGATGCCAGTGGAGACAAGGCAAAGATAAAGGTTACCCACAATACCCTTGACTTCTAAAGTGGCATAGAATCAAATTCACTGCACTTACCATATTACTGTGGAGCTGTTTTTTATCATTCGAAAGGACACATTTTTTGTCATTGTGTTACCTTTGCAGGAATATCTAAAAAATACTCCACCTGTTCCCCTGACCTCCGTACGTGTCCAGATGGTTACTGTGATGCCATTGAGAGCAAAAACATATCCATATGTCCTCAGGATTGCTCCAGTGAGTCAAATTTAAAGTTGTATTGTGCTTTGTGGATTTCCATATATTACTGTCAAGTTAAGCATAATTCTGCAGTTGTGCTTTTAGGAAGTGCATCAACCACGCTATAAAAAAATTTGTTGACTCAACTCATATATTGTTTCTTTTTTTGCATGGGCTTTTTGAGTTTGACTTATTTAGAAAAGTCTATCTGACACTTATAAAGTAATCTGACCTGGTTAAATTTAGTTATGAAAACTGAACATAAATTGGATAGTTACATAAACTTCACTTTAGTTAGCTGAACTTAAATTGGAGAGTTATGACTTCACTTTAATTAGCTGAACTTTTAAGAACTGAAGCTGCAAAGCTGCTTTAATCGATACACAGTTATTTTGAATGTATTAGTACTAGAATACTAATTTGTAAATTACATTTGACTAGACTTAAATTATGGCAAATTTAAATCACAGCAATACATTTCAATACACAATTACATTTGTTGCAATAACAAGCACATATAAAGGTATCTTACGCCTGCCTCAATGTGTCTTAATAAAGCAATAAGAACGTATGTCACCACCTAAAGTTAAAGAAAAATTAAATCATCTACAAAATATTCTCGGGGCATGAACATTTTGTGAAATTGATTAAAAAATGCTAGCTGTGGCGGGGAAAGAGTTAAGTTTAGTTTACTACAATTAAAAAATATTTAAAGCCAGCAAAAAACCTAGTGCAGTTGTTTCAACCTAGTTGAGGACAAATAAACTTAAATTTTCTTGTTGTCTGGACTAGCTATAGATATGTCTACATAAAAAATAGCAATAACTAAATAGCAAAAATATTTGATGTGTAAGATTTTTTCTTTTATCTTTTTGTCAGGTCAGCCCATAATTGGGGGTTACGAGAGGGACCTGTATGGAATCAAAGCTGGACATGGGACCTGCTACTGTTTTTCAGGAAAGTGCTTCTGTGAAAAGGATGAATCGGAAGGTGAGCTATATGATTTTTTTTTATACAATTTTTCATCAGAAGCTACATAAGATATGTTTCCATTTCCCAGAAGTCAAAGTAAGTACAATTTGCCTCGATCATTCAATTCAAAAAGTTTACACCCCCCGTGTCTTATCAGTGTGTTGCCTTTTTGAGCATCAGTGAATGATTTCACATTTTGTAATAGTTGTGTATGAGTCCCTCAATTATCCTCAGTGTGAAAGGACAGATCTCAAAAGTATTACTGTTGGAAAGGATTAAAATATGCAGAAGATGCTAGAAAATCTAGAAGGAAATATGCAGGACCTAAAGGATTTTTCTGAAGAACAGTGAGCATTTTAACTGCTCAGGACAAACAAGGGACTCATGAACAACTATCACAAAACATAAAAGCAGTCCTTGATCATCCAGGTAAAGACACAGGGATTAGGATCAGAGATTAAGATTAATAACTTTTGAACTGGTTAATTTGTGTAAATTCACTTATATTGTCTTGTGGACAATATGTAAACATCTGTTATGTGAATCAGCTTATTCGGGACTCTGCAAAATAAAAAAATAACATGCATTATTTATGATATCTTATTTTGTAAAAAATTATTAACTTCTTGCATATTCTGCAAGGGGCATGTAAACGTTTGAGCAGAAGAATTGTGTATATATAGAAAGAGAGGGAGAGAGAGAAAGAAAAAAAATTGCAATGTTTTGTTTCTAATTGTTTTTCAGAAGCTATTTGTGATGACATGTGCAAGACCGTCATTGCAACTGGTGTCCTCCTATCCTTCATTGTCTCCATCCTCCTGTCCTCGTACTTTATCCACCGTTATCACAAGAGCACACCTAAGCCGCCCATCGCCTCAGCTGAAATGACGTTCCGCCGGCCGGCCCAGTCCTACCCAATCAGTTACTCAGCCAATAACGTTCGTCGAGCTTCTCTCGATTCCATGGAGAATCAAGTGGCCATTGACACCTTCAAAATACCCGTATGTATTGCTCAGTGTCTTCACTTAGTTTTCAGTTTTTATATGAATTTTAACTGATTAATGAAATTAGCATTAATGAGATTGTTTCTGTTCTGATGAAGAGTACCCATTTTTTTTTAATAATTTCTGTTAACAGGAAGATCCAAAGTGGGAGTTCCCACGAAAAAACCTAGTGCTGGGTAAGACTCTTGGAGAGGGAGAGTTTGGAAAGGTTGTGAAGGCCACAGCTTTCCGGCTCAAAGGAAAAGCTGGATACACTACAGTTGCTGTAAAGATGTTAAAAGGTATGCAACTGAAAATCCATGGTGCAGATGCAGTTTTGCATTTGATCAAATCACTTTTTAAAAGCTGGATGTGTTGGACAAATCTGTCTATAATGACTTTTAAGCATCCATCTTTTTTCACCACAGAAAATGCATCTCACAGTGAGCTTCGAGACCTCCTGTCAGAGTTCACATTGCTCAAGCAGGTTAATCACCCTCATGTAATAAAAATGTATGGAGCTTGCAGCCAGGATGGTAAGACATTTTATTTAAAAAAACAACAACAACTGTATGTTCAATTTGGCATGCATTTGTTTTTGCTTTGCTTTGTGCTTACACAAGTTCCTCTGTTCAGGTCCATTACATTTAATTGTTGAATACGCCAAGTACGGCTCACTGCGGAACTTCCTGAGAGAGAGCCGGAAAGTTGGACCAAGCTACATGAGCAATGATGCCAACCGCAACTCAAGCTACTTGGAAAACCCAGATGAGAGAGCTCTGACTATGGGTGACCTCATCTCCTTTGCATGGCAGATCTCCAGAGGAATGCAATACCTGGCTGAAATGAAGGTATGTCAGCGGTTTCGGGAATATCCATCACAGAATATCACATTTTAAAGATATGTTATAATGTAAGAAAATGTCTTTAGCTTGTGCACAGAGACCTTGCTGCCAGGAATGTGCTAGTGGCAGAGGGAAGGAAGATGAAAATATCGGACTTTGGTTTATCTCGAGATGTCTATGAGGAAGATTCATATGTGAAGAGGAGCAAGGTGATACTTTTGTTCAGTTTAATTAACTACATCAAACTTATTATATTCTATCGTTCAGAGATGATTGAATATTAGTATCATTCTGTAAAATAAAATATGGTTTAATGCAATTATACATGTGTTAGACTTTGTCATAATGTGCTCTCAATTTCTAGGGTCGTATTCCTGTCAAATGGATGGCTATAGAGTCTTTGTTCGATCACATCTACACCACACAAAGCGATGTGTAAGTTATGGTTTCATGCAACACCCGTAAACTCTAAAGGCCCGTTCACACCAAGGACGATAACTGTAGCGATGATGAAAAAGAAGTAGTTCTAAAAATTGTTCTAAATATAAAAGAATAGCAGAGTTGACGCCACAGAGTTCACACCAGATAACGGCACAGAGGAACGAAATATAGTCCCCCTTTCAGAATGATTTTGCCATCTGATGAAAAAAAACAGAACGATATTGTGCGTTGATGGACGCTAGTATAGTTATCATTATGGTTATCTTTATAGTTATCGCTCTTGGTGTGAACGGGCCTTAACCGTAGCTAACATATATCTTTACAAACAATCACCACTTCATATTTTACATTTGAAGAATTCGTTTATTGGAATGGGATTTCTTCCATGACAACTTTTTAATACAATCTCTCTCTAATTCCTTTCATTAGCTGGTCTTTTGGTGTCCTCTTATGGGAGATTGTGACTCTGGGTGGAAACCCCTACCCAGGCATTGCTCCGGAACGGCTTTTCAACCTTCTGAAGACAGGCTACAGGATGGAGAAACCGGAGAACTGCACAGATGAAATGTGTGTTTAACAGCCATCATGTCATCAGTTGAATGTATTGTAGAATTAAGAGCAGAATGAACAAATTATGTTCCAAAACCGCCATGTCATCATGGGATAGATTATAACATTTTAACATTTAAGTTTAAAATTTTGCATTATGTCTTATGCAATCTTATGGACACAACAATTTACTTATTTTGTGTGTATTTTTTTCTAAATTTCACTTGTATCATTTATTTAGGTGTGACAATCAGAGATGTTGTGTATCAGGTGATGAATGCTCTGTTATGTGATGTAGGTACAATCTGATGCTTCGTTGTTGGAAACAAGAGGCAGATAAGCGCCCCACTTTCTCAGACATCAGCAAAGAACTTGAGAAGATGATGGTGAAAAGCCGAGTAAGAACTGAATGAGCGCTTCCTCTCACATACAGTCACACACAGGCACAAATCCAAGCAAATCAAAACACTTCCGGATGAAATGACAACCTGAGTTGAACCTGACTTCACATGTATAAGTTAAACATTGCAAGTTCAAAAGTATTTACACACTTATTACCTTATACATAAAATACTGTTCAAAGGTTTGAGGCCAGTAAGACTTGTTTTTTTTAAAAAGTGGCAGTAAAGACTTTCATAATGTAACAAAAAAAAAATGCTGCTCTTTTGAACTTTCAATTCATAAAAGAATCCTGAAAAAATGTATCACGATTTCCTTAAAAATATTAAGTAGCACAACAAATATAATATAATATATTATATAAATATAATAAATGTTTCTTGAGCAACAAATCAGCATATTAGATTTCTGAAGGATCATGTGACACTGAGGACTGGACTAATGGCTGCCTAAAATTAAGCTTTGCCGTCACAGAAATATATAGCAAATAGTTAGTATAAGTAAATAGTTGTTAAAATAGAAAAGTTATTTTAAATTGTAATATTTTACAATATTACTGTTTTTACTGTATCATATAATGCAGCCTTAGTGAGCATACAAGACTTCTTTCAAAAACATAAAAAAATCTTACTGACCGCAAACTTTTAAACAGCAATGTATGTTTATTCTTTTGTTGTTATAATGATGAAGAATTCCTCAAGGTAAGGCATAATGTAAAACAATGGATGAACACAGAAGAACCCTCCTGCAGAGAGTAAAGGTTTTCGTCCATTTTCAACCATCATAACCGAATGTACTTATAACTTAGAATAAATTAAATGTCAAACTGACTTTATTTATACTTAATATGCTATCATACATTTTATTATGCTAACAATTCACAATTACTATCATTTGAAAATCTACTGTCTAGTGAGGGATGTTCACTAGTGAATAAAGACAAATGTCATCATAATGCAAATCCTGCTCAAGAATTATAAAAAAAAAATTTATGAAATATGTGATAACATTTAATAACTCTGTTTCACTTCATCAGGACTATCTGGATCTCGCGGCTTCCACACCAGCAGACGCCCTGCTATATGACGACTCCCTCTCTGAAGAGGACACACCCTTAGTGGACTGTAGTAACGCCCCTCTCCCTCGAACCCTCCCCTCCACTTGGATTGAAAACAAGCTCTATGGTAGAATTTCCCATGCATTTACTCGATTCTAATACAGGGAACAAAAACAGTTTTTGTTTGTGCCTTCCATAGGAAGTGCTGTGATTGTGCTAACGGCATGGTTGCCAGTGACTTATGAATACTGCTCGTGTTTTATAGATTCAGTTAGAGCTGTAGTGTCTGGATCTAGGGATCAGATGTTTCATTTGGACCTGCTTCCGATGTACTCTATTATTTGAAATATTATTTTTAATTTTCCAAGTATTATTAATATTTATAAAAAATAAATCAATTTTTACACATATAGACACAACTTAAAATGTACTATGTTCAGTGAGAAAAATATATTTTAAGATGTGTTTAAGATTTACATCATATGTGAAATTTTTATTGGTTTGCAGCGCTTTAGGTTGAATTTTACATTTGAAACAGGTCCCGTGTGCCCTGGATGTGCGCTCTCTGTAATATCCTGAACATATTACAGAAAATTAATGTTTAAAGTAGATGGAGTCCATTCTGAAATCAGTAAGGCTTTTGAATTAAACTCTTCTTTTAGAGCATAATATGCAAGACTTTCTTAGCTTTCCCTAAAATGATGGCATTAATAGTAGAATAAAAAAGCAATAAAATGGCCAGCAGTAAGACAGTTTCTATGCATGGGCTCTTTGATGTCTATTATTTTTGGGAGTACACACACACACACACAACCTTTTAGTAGAGCACCGATTATGTTTCAGTTAAAAGCATGTACATAGAATGCCAAAGACAACAGGAGCCACAATACTGATGTCATGATGACGTCATAGAATATACTGTATGATGTCACCACAGTGGAATATTGACATGAATGACCAAAAAGCACTCAAAAAGGACCAAAGAATGATTTCATGCTGTTTTATGTAATTATGTTCAAAAGCTGAGCTGAGTTTGGTTTGAGAGCCTTACTGTCTAGACTTAATGCTTCCTCGGTGCAGAAAAATGATATGTTCTCGTTTTTAGGCATGTCATACCCGAACTGGCCAGAGAAGAGCCCGGTACCTCTCAACAGACTTGATGCCACTAACCCTGTCTTTACAAGATATGCCAATGATAGTGTTTATGCAAACTGGATGGCTTTGCATTCTCCCGCAAAAATTGTGGACACGCTCGATAGTTAAAAACGCAAACCAAAATCATTGGTGGAAAAGACGTGGGGGGTGGGGAGATGTGTATATTTATATGATACTGTATATATGTTGTATGATGATAAAGTCGGTTCCCTTTTATTTCTGCTGTTGTGTTGAAGATGGGAGGGTGGTAAAAGATTTCAAATTGGCTGGAATTGCATAAAACATGCTTCAAGCAGCTCATAGGCGATTGTTACCACAAGGCCCTGTTGGCCATGTTGTGTCACTGCATGACTCTGTACAGTTTAATGTCCATGTTTAAGTGCCTGTGCCGCTTCTGTTAGAGAACACCAGTTATAAATGCATGGCCGAGACAATCTTGGTCCCACTCCAGGAATTAAAGGGAGCTTCTTTACCATCACCAACTGCAGATGTTTGCCTCAAAGACTGGACATGGGATGGGATGGGATGGGGGGGGGGGGAAGAAGCCAAGTTTGTTTCTTCTTGATCATGCATCAGGATATGACAGAAACAATTACTTTTTGTTTTTTAAATATTCATATTTCGCCTTGTGCTAACTACGAGTTATGAATATTTCCCGTAACAGAGTATGAATATGTTTAATTTAATGTCATATGGTGGTTTAATTTTTATTCCTTGTAAAGACATTATTTGTTCAACAATAACTAGGCCTACAATGCATAAAGCTGAGTGTGATTCCTCATTATGTTGTCAAAACAATACATTTCAATAAATAAAACTGTTTGAAGATGTCAAGGTTTAATTTCTGTGTTTGTTATTTCATTATCAGACTTTATGAAAGAGTGAAAGAATAATTATAATTATTTACATAAAAAGATTAAAATGTTATGACATCTGTCAATTCATGATTCATACACTGTGTGACCACAAAATGAATGAATGATCTGAAAAGCAAGCCCAAATAGCCTACCCTTTGTACACTAAATTGGCCTGAGATCACTCAATTTGTTTTGTTCCCCTATGAATGGGGAGATTTATTTAAATCAGACACAATAAAAGTTTTTCCTGACATGTACACAAAGTGGAGCAGCAGCACGAACACAAAAAATACAACTAAAAAAAGACATGAAATGCAACTCTAAAAAGGAAGTGGGTTGATTTTCAAAGCAGACTTTCAAAAGTGTCCTAATTATAGGTTATTTTGTTCACCATAGTTTGTTTTTAACAATTTGTAAAACATCTAAAGACGACATACTGGCTTTTATTTTGAAATTCTGCGGCTCATAGCGGAAGGAACATGCTTCCTTTTTTTCATTGCCCCGTGGCGTTGTGTTCCCACATTTATTATGCTCGGTATTCTATTGAACAGTTGCACGAAGAAGCGGTTACCGACAGCCACATACAATCACAACCGCCGAGGTAAGTGTCGCACATTTCCGTGTTTGTTTTATCCAAGAAAACAACTGCAACCTCGATGTTTCTTCCGCAAATTAGATTACTAGATATTTGCCATTATGTCTTTTCATCATGCTTAGTGCTATTGATCAAACAGCCAGATGTTTCCCTGTGCGCATAAAGCTGTGTTTCCTTGTTGATCTGTAAACAAACTTAATATTATTCAGAGTCTTAGTTGTTTGTTTATATTAAAGTGTAAACATAAATTGCGCTACCGTTATACATATACAGTTGTTTGCGGTGAATATGAATAGTTTTATACAGCGTATGGAGCCAGTAGCTGCTAGGCAAAATAAACAGATAACGTTAGGTCGAATCCGCTTATCACACGGCCGATAAAAACATTGATCTAAAATATTGATTATTAAATTATTATTGTTGATATATTTAAATTTTTATTGTCTTATTTTTGGATTATCTAAATTTCGATCCGCTTAAAACTATAAGTTAGTCTATTTCTACGTAGACAACAACCTGAAACTTGCCTAGAAACTAGTTTTACAATACATATTATCAGTCCAAGTTACTTTTGTTTGTTTGTGTGTGTGGATATTCGTTTTATATATAAATAACGTTTTAATAAAAATTAATATCATTCGTATGTGGGTCAATGACATGACATGTATTTTTTGTGTCCAAATGCATTATTTTCCTAAAAAGAATTTGAATAAATACATGTCATATATCAAATGGATCTACAATATCTCCTTTATAAGAAACCCTCTTCATTTTATTGAAATTCAATAGATTTTTTGAGTTTTGTTGTTTGAAAGACCAAAAATGTCAGGTGGTGCGACCGTCCGAACGTACAAGCAGAGAAAAAAACTGCAATAAAAAGGTTAATTTTCTCAATAAAATTCTTAATCAAAAAGTTTGGCATAATTTTATGTTAAATTCCTTATAAATGAGGGGAAATAGTGTATCGGTCCTATTTCAAAACTATTCTATTACTTAAACAACTTTTGTCCGAAAAATTTACTTCTACCAATGTCAGGGAGGGCGACCGACATAAAAATGCAATTTTATGCAATGTTCCTTTAATAAAACCATGTGACAGCATATGACATCACACAGAAGACCCCAAAGGACCCCTTTGATGCAGTAACAAGGTTAATCACCCTCCCATAAATATTAGATAATTTGACATTTTGGAGTAATGATGAGGCTGATTCAAATGATCATGTCAGGTGGTATGACCCCTGGAAAACTTTGAAAATGTGTTGTTATTATAAAAATATGTATTGGATTTAGAAAATGTATGTATAACCTTGAGCACATGGTCAAACATTTGTATAGGTGTCCAAGTTAATGCCTGTTAGATTTGAATTGAGTTTGAAATGTCAGGTGGCGTGACCAATATGTCAGGTGTCGCGACCAGAGTTACAGTTAAACCAACTAAAAAAAGTCATGTTAATTCACGTTTTTAAATATATTAAATACATTTTAATAAATATATAAAGCTTTTAATTTGTTTAAAGGTGTGATCTACATATGCATATATATATATTTTTTTATTTTATTATGGTATGGGTGACAATTAAAAGAGCACATTGTCCATCTTAAAGTCCTATTCTTCAAGAATATAGGACTGTATAACCAACATTGATACTAACACAATTGCATCTTTAAATTAATCTATTTTAATTTGTTTTTGTATACTGTGTATGTCATTATCAAGCAAGGATAAAACAGCACGACACAGAGCTTGTTTAAAAAGTGATCCAGTTGCAAGGGCAGAGTACATTGTAAAAATATCTAGATAAATTACAACTTAAGTTAATATGGTGTTCTGTTATTTTTTGTGTGGTAATTACAGTTATTACTTGTTAATAATACATACTTTATAGCAGTGTCATACAGAATTACAGAAGAGACCATTACATAATTAACAAACCACTACCCATTCTATTCAATATTTGAACTAAAATAATTTATTTTACAAATGATATAGTACAGGTGAAACTAAAAAAAAAAATTATATCGTGCAAAAGTTCATTTATTTCACTAATTCAACTTAAAAGGTGAAACTAATATAGACTCATTACATGCAAAGTGAGATATTTCAAGCCTTTGTTGGGGTTTTCATAAGCTGTGAGCCATAATCATCAAAATTATAACAAATAAAGGCTTGAAATATCTCACTTGATGAGATGATCAAATGTTTTCATAACATGCTGTATTGTTTTGCACTTTCTTGTTCATGAAATTTAATTATATGATGGAGATACACTATAAATTGGTCAGAGGATTAAAATAAAAAAGCCAATTGAAACCCGAATTAAATTAATTGACATATCTTTCTTTTTATTTTGTGAATATCAATCATTATTGATCACAACGTCAGGTGGTGCGACCGGTCATGGTCAGGTGGTGCAACCAGCAAATTTACATTTAAATGTTTCAATTACCACTGCAATTGCAAAATGAAGTAAGCAATATAACTCTAAACCTTTATATAATGTATACAAAAAATGGTTACAGTTAAAAACAAAACATAAAAATTTCTTATGGAAAAATGGGTGTTTGAACACAGAAAAGTAGCCGTTTATATAATTTGGAATAAAAGGGCAATAAATAAAGAAATGGAAAGGAAATTTACCATGTGACATGCATTTTAGACACTACGATTCATATTTACAAGTCCCAGCCAGTAGTGCTAAGTACATTAAATGTATATTATTTTAAATTAATATATGGTCGCACCACCTGACATTTTCTGGGTGGTAAAATCAGAAATCTTGTTTAATAATGAATTAATGCTGCCTAAAATGCTTTAAAACCAGTATGAATCAACACCATACTTTTTTTGGACATAAAAATGCATTTTAATACTGTTTTGCTTAAAATATATTTTTTTTCATCTTGAAAATCTTATTTGTCATTGACCCATTTGTGGAGTGTTTTAAAGTTTAAAAAAAGCAAGGCACTGAAGGCTGTTCTATTATTTGATATAGTTTATATAGTAATTTGTTTAGACTATTTCTTGTCTGGTTTGGTCTAAATATACTGAATAGAAAATATATTTTTCATGATTTGAATCTCTTTTTAGATGTGGTGTTTCTCTAAACGGAGGAATATTGTGCAAGCAGGATGACAGTTTGTCAACGGTATATGCACACATCTCTGAGGAATCTGAGCATGATCGATGTGCTGTAGTGTGAGAGGAGCAAGATTACAAGAGAAATGTGACACTAGCATACTTCCTCCGCTTTGCTTGGGAATGGATTAATGTGAAAGTGGCTGGTAAAGAGCACCCTGCCTCTCAGATATGCCCAGACGGGGGCTTCCTCTGCAGGGGCGGGCGCGCTGGCTTCTACTAGGAATATTTTTGATCCTGGTGCTGCTGCTCTTTGCTTACCTCCTGGAGTGCACACCGCCTGCGGATGTGAGTCAGGTGCTGCCTGGCCTGGGAGGAGATCCTTATGGGAAGGAGTATTACCAGGCCCTCCTGCAGGAGCAGGAAGAGCGACATCTCAGCCGAGCGGCCAGCCTCAAGAGGCAGATTGCGCAGCTCAAACAAGAACTCCAAGAGATGAGCGAGAAACTGAGGGTACTTCAAAAAAAAAAGGAGGGCCCCGGGCCACAGAGCCTGATCGATGGAAGAGATCAAGAGCCGAGTGACCTCTTGGAGTACCTGCACTCACAAATCGAAAAGGCCGAGGTGAATACGGGAGCGAGGCTACCGAGCGAGTACGCGCTTGTGCCCTTTGAGAGCTTCACCTCCACGAAGGTGTACCAGCTGGAGATGGGCCTGACACGCCATCCCGAGGAGAAGCCTGTGCGGAAGGACCGGAGGGATGAGTTGGTGGAGGTGATAGAAGCGGGTTTGGAAATTATTAATAACCCGGAAGACGATGACGGACAGGAGGACAACATCCCCATGCAGCGGCAGATGTTCACCGAAAGCCATTTTTTTGAGGGTAAGAGCTGTTCAGATGAGGTATACTACTTTACGTACCGTGTGTTCAGGGTTTGTGTGTACTTAAAGGACTAGTTCGGTATTTTACACTTAAAGCCCTGTTTTAAGCAGGCATGTGTCCAAATTTCAATCTTAACCGTTCTATTTCATCAGAAACGATCTTAAAAAAAGGCTTTAAATGTAAAATACCGAACTTGTCCTTTAATAGTATTGTTTGTATTTGAGGATAATAAAGGTGGTGTGAACTTTGCACAGCACAAAATTTAAGTAACTCTAGCTGCTTTTGTGTATTTGCTATTCTTGGCAGGACTCTACAGGACCGAGAGGGACAAAGGCACACTGTATGAGCTCTACTTCGCTAAAGAGAATTCCCACGAGTACCGTCACGTCACCCTCTTTCGTCCATTTGGGCCTCTCATGAAAGTGAGGAGCATGTCTGTAGACGCCGCCAGCACCATCATTAACATCATAGTGCCGTTGTCAGGCCGCACTGAAGTCTTTGTTCAGTTTTTGCACAACTTCAGGTGAGAAGGTCACTGTGGAAGGTTTCAGGAAGTTTTAGGGCTGTCAATCTTCCTCTATAATACTATTCGAATTCCATTCCTTGTTTTATTTAATATTCGAATATTAAATGCTCAAATTCATCCTATTATTAAGATTTACAACATTACTCAGGCTTATGGATCGCCAATGCCACTATAGCATGTGGTTGTTGTTACACGTTCTGTCCACTAGAGGGACATCTAACATTACAATAAACATTTTATTCACGCTGAATATGGTTGAAGCGCTTCCGATGGTTTTCGGCTAATATCTCCGCGAAAACACCACCAAACATTCTGAAATTTATATCGTTCTTTTCAGTTCGACTAGATGGTTCCAGCGAGTTTGGTGCTCACCGAATCCGTTGAGTATTCGCCAAGATATTTGCGCTTCACGGGCGCTTTTTTACGTCGTTAAACATTTACCATTTTTGACAGTATTGTTATGATGATCAACGTGTATAACGTGCACAATTGTGTTACGATTCAAAAACTTTATTGTTCATCAGACGAAACAAAAGCATTTCATTTTCACATGCGTGTAAGCCAAGGTGGTGAGAAAGACAAGATTGCATATAAAAAAAATATATATAAAAATATTCTAATAGTAACTTCAGCATTCGAATAGTATTGATTTTTTTAATATTTGAATTATATTCGAATTTTGGAATTCGTTCCAACAGCCCTAGTAAATGTGCACTTTTATAGAGTGCTGCAGTGATGACCCATTTTTGTAGGCCAACCCAAAAGTTAGCATTACCATTACCATTTTTTAGACAAAAAGATGGGGTTTTTTTTCCATTGGCTTTTGGATTATTGTAGAAAATAAGCTCTGTGACCAACAAAAGTTTATGATTCTTACATGATTCTTACAAACACTCACATGAACATAACTTTTATGAATTTTGAAGCCTAAATACAATCGGCAGAAGTAAAAGAGCTAAACGTTGGCTATAAGGGTCGCCACCATTAAGCTTCTGAAAACTCTTTCAGTCATTATTTAAAAACATTTGTCACTTTGAGTTCAAATCGTTTGCAAGATCGTGATTATGAACTCAATGAGGCTGTAAAAGCCCAATAGTGAGTAGATGACTTACACTGTTCGGCTGATAACGTTTAACCCAACAACCTATGTAGTCCAATTTAGCCACTTGTTAGCAACCGGCCTTTTCAGGACAACGAGTGGTGTATTACTTAAGTCATAGATATGTGTATACGTAGATTCCAGACGCCATCTTGGAACAGTCAGCGTGTCGTCACTCACAGTAAGAATCAATGATGCCACAACATTGCGCAGGTTTTGATTGTCAAACCGCTGAGATTTCAATTCCAGAAGAAATGGGATAACCTTTCACAGGTGAGAATGTGTTGGGTTGTGTTTTTAAATCAGCTCAGTAATACAGGCTTTTACTATGGTATTTTTTAATATCGTGTTAGATGATGCCTTTTCTTGTATTGGGTTAGTTTTGCAAAATCAACTGCTGAAGTCTATTGCAGATTCAAACATGTCTAACTGTCGGTTGCAGACGCGCAGTCAACGGTCAGCTTTGACTGTTCCAATATGGCGGACGGGATATGTATAGAGGCCCATAGAAACAGCCGCAAATGAGGCATCTATGTATATATATCTTTGACTGATTTATTTTATGTCTTAGAATAAAATGTGAAAGAATTTTGATCTAGATTCATTGTTCGTTGTCAATAGCGATATATGAAGCACTGATGACACAGAACTTGCTTTTAATCCAAGTAGCTTTCTGATAGTCAACACATGATGAATTCACGTGACTAACATCAACATTTGGGAATGTGCAAAATGTTTCGCCCTCATGCACACAAAACTCCCGATGGTCATGTGGATTCCTATTGAAATGACTGGATTTTAAACAAAATTTCACCAAGCATGTAAAAGAGATTCTGGGAATGTGTGTGTCAGTGTGTTCTTGTGTGCTGCAAATCATACAGTTGAACCTTCTAAAGATGTGTGGATGCAGCCAGATGTTACACAGTTTTACAAGGGAATGATTTCCAGTACAGTTTTCTCTTTGGTAGTTTTGGAAATGTTGTGATCAGATGGTGTTTTCTGTGTGCAGGGAGGTTTGTGTACAGCAGGACAAGCGAGTGCATCTCACAGTGGTGTATTTTGGTCAGACGGGCTTGCAGGAGGTGAAGGCGTCTCTGAGGAAAATGTCCAGGTTTGAGCTTTGCAAATGTTCTGTGATATTGCACTGATCCTAAATGGATGAAACCCAAGGAAAAGGAATTTGCTGTTTACCCATCTTAATGGGGGAGTAGAGACTGTAATTTAATTTCCTTGGAATAGCAGGTTTTAAGCTTCCTTTTTCATAATTATTGTGCCCAGAGCTCTTATAGTAATTCACATTGTCTGTACTCTACTACCATTAAAAAATGTAAAGTCGGTAAGATTTTTATTGAAAGAAATAGGGCTGTGTAATATATCGAAATATCGCAAATGTACATATCGTGATATGCATATCGTAACTGCAATAACGGGGGTCATAAACAAAAGACAGACACTGCTCTTGACTGAATAGCTTTTGTAGCTTTAATAAGAATCAGTTGACATTAATTCATACAGTGAAGACTAAGCAGTGTTTTATTTCTACATTTGATTATTCAGTTTCTGTTGTTACATAAATCTAATGTAGGCCTACCTGAAACCTAAACCCCCTGGTTACACATGTTAAAATGACACTTATGATACAGTAAGACATTGGTGTTCACTTTCAGAAGTTGTAGTGATGCTTTCTTCTGACAAAAAGAATGTGAAAAAAATGTATGTTGGTTATATAATTTAAGTTTAATTTACGCATTTTAAGCATCATCTCATTTTTCTTCAATATTGTGCAGCCCTAGAAAGAAATTAACTTTTATTCAGCAAAGATGCGTTGAGTAGATCAGTGGTGACACTATAGACATTTATAACATTACAAAAGATTTCTATTTCAAATAAATGCTGTTCTTTTGAATTTCCTTTTAAAGAATCCTAAAAATATATATCATGGTTGCCACAAAAATATTAAGCAGCACAACTGCTTTCATAAACATTAATAATAAGAAATGTTTCTTGGGCACCAAATCAGAATATAAGAATGATTTCTGAAGGACACTGAAGACTGGATTAATGAGGCTGAAAATTCAGCTTGGCCATCACATGAATAAATTACATTTTAAAATATATTAACATCGAAAACAGTTAATTTGATAGTTTTTCCTGTATTTTTTTATCAAATAAATGTAGCCATGGTGAGCAAAAGAGACTTTTTTTTTCCAAAAATATTACAAAAAAATCATACCACCCCCAGACTTATAAACAGCAGTGTGTGAAGGTAGAGATTGTAAACACGTGTTATTACCCAATATGGTTGGTATAAATCTTCTAAGCCTCCTTTTATTTCCTACACTGTTATTCATGATCCTTTCCAGTGAGGAGAACTTCAGTAACTACACTCTGATCCCTGTGGATGAGGAGTTTTCGCGTGGCCGTGGTCTGGACATTGGAGCTCACGCGTGGGAGAAAGGGGGTGACGTGTTGATGTTCTTCTGTGACGTTGACATCTACTTCACACTGGAATTTCTTAGTACCTGTCGTCTCAATACAGCTCCAGGTTTGTCATCTCAACAATCATTTCTATCTGAAAATTCATGGACACATTACTAGAAAAAACATCCATATTTCTCCAATTTTGCACTTGTTTTTGATTGCACTATATGATGCGTGTACTTTCAGTTTGTTTTCCATCTAAGCAGTAATAATATTAGGGATAATAGGATATGTAGCAAATAAATTAATGACATTTACTGGTTTTATGCATGGTTGACAGAACAGTATAAATTCTTCATCAAGAATCATTTGTATACTAAAAATATAATCCTCTATGTAATTTTCTTTTTTCTCCTTTGCAGGAAAACGAGTTTTCTATCCGGTGGTTTTCAGTTTGTACAATCCCGCTATAGTTTATGGAAATCTTGATTTTCCACCCCCAATTGAGAGTCAGCTGGTATGTAACCAAGATTTTTTTTTTTTTTTTTTTGAACGTATGGCTTTCTAGTGATTCAAAAGAAAATAAGACAATTGTATGCCATTTATAGATTCATAAAAAAGATGCTGGATTCTGGAGGGATTTTGGATTTGGCATGACTTGTCAGTATCGCTCTGACTTCCTTAGCATTGGTAAGTTAATGTGGACTTATATATACTGTATATGTTCAACATCATTACTACAGTCTTCAGAAATCATTCTAATATGCTGATTCAATAATAATAATAGGAAATGTTTCTTGAGGAGCAAATCAGCAAGGATCATGTGACAGCTTTGCCATCACAGGAATAAATAAAATTTAAACATTTATTTAAATGGAAAACAATTATTTTAAATTGTAATGTTATTTCACAATATTGCTGTTTTTACCGTATTTTTGCTGAAATAAATGCTGCCTGGTGAGCATAAGAGACTTATGAATGACTTAAAAAAAAAAATCCTTCGTAAATGAATTCATGTGTGAGAGTACTAATAAGAGATAATTTGCTGCTTGTTGTTTTTTTATATATAAATAAACTCCCGGTTTCTCTTTTCTAGGAGGATTTGATCTGGAAGTGAAAGGCTGGGGTGTAGAAGATGTGCACTTGTACAGGAAGTACCTACGGAGTGAACAGATTGTGATCCGGACCCCTGTGTCGGGCCTCTTCCACCTCTGGCACGAGAAGCTGTGCGCAGACGAGCTGACCCCGGAACAGTACCGCATGTGCATCCAGTCCAAAGCCATGAATGAGGCGTCACACTCTCATCTGGGCATGCTTGTGTTCCGGGAGGAGATTGAGACTCACCTTCGAAAGCAGGCCTACAAAACTCAGAGCAAACCAGCCGAATGAATCAACAATGCAGCAATGAGCACAACTTTGTTGATAACAGCAATGAAGGAATGGGTCAAAATGTTTATTTTTTTTTGTATTATTTGAACTGAAGTCAAATCAAAATAATTATCCTGGGATTACAGAAGACTTTATGACAACAAAGAAGACTAAGTGTTAAGGGAGGATGGTACTGATTGGTACTACACAAACCATTTACTTTGATTTACGTTCTGGAATAGTTTGCTTTAATGCCAATTTAGGTTTAGGTGTTAAGCACTAAAATGACTTTTTAGATTTGTTTATTACGTACTGTATGTGAATAATGAAAAGTCCCTTTGGGGAAATGAGTTACTGAAGAAATTGTTTGGGCCTCATTCATGAAGTTTGTGCAAAGTTGTATTGCATAAATTGTCTCATTGAATTGAATGCAACAGCTTGCATAAATGTTTTATACAAATGATTTGCACAGTTGTTCTGCTCATGATTTCTAAATAATGGCCATTGAGAAGACATGTAAAGAGCATGCCTTTGTTTTTGTTTTTTGTTTTGCCATTAATTGACAAAGCCATTAGTTTCTATTTTATTTCTAGTGATGTCAAATAGATTAATTGATTAATCGCATCTAACATAAAAGTTTGTAAATATATAATTTGTGTGTGTGTGTGTGTGCGCGCGTGTATATGCACACAAACTTTTGATAAATCGATTTGACAGCACTAATTATTTCTGTTGAAAATCGGTGCGCTGTGATAAAAAGGGAGATGCGTTGCTAAAAGGGACAATCATCCACATATGGATGTAGTTAAATTTGCCATGCTGGATTTGTACTGTAGGTCATGTTTCTGCTGGAACAGTATTCAGACTTTTCCCCCAAGTCTTCCACGTCTTTGCTGTGTGAAATAGCATGGACCTGATATGCATTTTGATGCATGTGTCAAACTTTTACTTTGCACCATGTGTGAGGACACTGGTCAGTGCTATAGTGTTATCTGTCAAGAGGGTAAACAGGATCTAAATGCTTTGGCCTCTGCAACCACTTTGAAATGAATCTGTGGTATATAGTCAATGTTGAGGTATTAAAAAAAAATTCTCTGACTAATCTGTTGAGGACATTATGTATTAATTCCACTGGCAGGTGGATTGAAAATAACCTTTGCTATCTATTGTAAAGCCTCAAATTGATCAGGATGTTGAGTTCCATTGCTCATTTTCTAAAACAAATAAAATAAATACAACAAGCTATCTTTAATGTTTGTCCCCAAAATAAACCATGAAGGTGTGTGATTCGATTTTAGTGCTTGATCGAAATCAACAGAAACTCTTTTAGGATTTATGGGAAATGATGCAGCAGTGTGAACCTTGAAAAATAGACCTGCTATTTGATTGTCAGCAGTTCTGTCATATATTTTGCTTCCAAAACATAAGCTTATGTGCCAGTAAATATCAGTTTACTGTGTAAAAATGTATTTTAAACTGTTGCAGTGGTATTGAAATTTACAGAAGATACATTTAACATAACTATAACAAGCAAGAGCAACACAACCGCTACTAATAGTTCAGTTTATTATGATTCTTGGTTGTAGTTTTTACACAGTACATAGTCAATATTTCTTTTCTAACTCTAGATAAAGTTTATATTAATACCATTTGATTCCATTTGCAATTGCACACAAACATTTGCAGCTCTATAAGCTATAAAAAATGTATTTTAAACTGTTGCAGTGGTATTGAAATCCACTATTCATTCCTTAATTTAAGACACATGGAATAATACAAGTGTATTCATTTTTATACAACAGACTACAGGAAAATAAAATAACAAAAACTGCTGGGACAGTCCAGTTGAAGAGTTGAAAACGGTTTAAAATATTTATTTATCTTCAAAGCAATATGATTTCTGATGAATAAGGAGTTTTAGCGACCCATTACATTAATGCACTGGATGATCTGGCCGTACATCCATGGACTTATAAATTTCCTTGAGAAGAAGCAGAGCTGTATCTTCAGATTCCCTGAGGAAAGAGACAAAATAGTCTTTATTGTATTTCACAGAATGACAATAATACAATTACATAATGACATTATGGCAGATCACATACCAGTAACACAGATGACTCTGGAGTGCAAACAGGTATTCGTTAAAGCTCTCGATGGGTTTCTCTTGCAGGACGTAGTCAATGCGATTCCCTCCATTCAGCAGGCCCACTTTTACGTGCGTCTCCTCTTCCTTCTGAGGCTCTGGACTCTCAACCATCTTACTCTCCTCTGCAAACAAAGCATTCGATTCAGATTCAGTTTGCGTTGAAGTGTGCACAGTGAACTGACGACACTAAGAGGATATGCATTGTGGGTGACTCACCTTCCCCTTCCTGCATTTCCTCTTGTGCTTTGATCTGACTGGCGACCATGGCGAGCTGTTCGTGCAGTTGAGCGGAAGAGGTGTGAGCACGCGCAAACTCATTCAGAGTCTGCCAAGCAGTCTTCAGAGAGCTGATGAAGCCGTGCTTTAAGTCAGAGCCCATCCTGGATAAACTCTCTTTTAATTCTGGATGCAAGACACAAAAAATTTATTTTGTAACCAAGAAAATTAATGCATTCTATTATAAGTTACATTTACATTTAAATTACAATAATAGTTAATTATTTTTTTTACTTTTCTTTGCTTTATCAACACCAGAAGATTTTGCCCTGTACAATTTACACATTATTTTTAAAATAATAATAATAAATTATTTAAATAACCTAACTTTTATATAGCATATATATATATAGAATTATTTATATAATTTTTTTTAACTGATAAAATTCAAAGAAATTGTCAACAGGGTTTCTACCAATAAACATTTCTACCAATAAATTTCCATGACTTTTGAGGCAAATATTCATGACCTAACGTTTCATGAAACGTCTGTGTATACATATAAAATAAGAATAAAAATCCATATTCAAATTTCAAATCACAGCAGATCATAAATAATTTATGACAAGCTATGTGGTTTAATACAAAATAAACATTTATTTTATTATTTACTATTAGTTTCAGCGATGATTAATCTGAACGCCTCTGATTGGCCATCACAATCATAAGCTCAACAGGAATGTGTGAGATTGGTTATAATGCTCATTGCTGCAAAACAAAATCTGATGGAATGCCGCAGTCAGAGAGATCGAATTAACGTTTTAAAATAGCAATTTTCAGGCTATTTTAAAATTCCATGACTTTTCCAGGTTTTTAAAGACCGTACGAACCTTGTGTTTAATACATACCGAGATGAAGTCTCTTCCTCCCTTTATGATGAGGGATCAAAACCGGTTCCATTTCAATGTCTGGTAAGATCAATGGTTCAATCCTGTATGCAACTGGATCCAGCTGAGAACACAATATCATTAATGTATTAGCGACACAGCTAACACTGAGAATGTTACATTTCCAAATCGTGTTGTTCATTATTCTTCATTTACACTGACACTTTAGTCGTAAACCATGATTCCCAAAAGATCAGATGCAGCTGTAGAGAAGCAGTAGACGATCTAAGACACAACTCACTGGATGGTAGATATTGAAGAAGCCTTTGCAGGTGGGAAGCTGGTAAGACTCTTCAATTTTCTCCACCCCACGTACTGTCAGAAACATCCCGATGGGAGAGCCGAGAGCAAAGAAATTCACCGGTTCAAAGTCTAGAGCATGATATACCACCGACACCTGGAGGAGAACAGAGCATATTCACGTTTCAGACCCACAATCAGCTTCTGACAAAATGACCATTCAATCATCTTGGTCCATAGATAATTTGGGAAGGTGTAAATTCAAGCTTTACCTGTCCTGTGCCTATTTCGAAATAGTTGTAATCTACATGGATTGAGGACATGTTCCTTCCTACTGGCAGTTTGCTGATGGAAGGATCTGGTGTGGGCTCTGTCTGGACGGGAGGTTTAGTCTCTTTTGGTTCCTCTTTTTCTACAGTTTTCTCTTTCACAGCCTTTCGTGCAGCCTGTTGAGAAGAACATGAGTTTCAAAGCATCACATCAGAATGGACAAATAAAAACCTGATGCAAACAACTGAAAATTTGCCTGTTTTGCAGACTTCTCTTTGACAAAGTTGGCAAGTTTTTTACGTGGCCCCAGAGGAATACCCATTTCCTTTAGGTCATCTATTGTGCATAACAGCTGTAATAGAGATAGAGGAATAGCAGTGATGAGTTGCTTATTGTTTTAATATAAAAGGTGTAAAACCAAATTTAAAATGCTCTCACCAGAGACTCGATATCAATCCTCTCTTTTTCAAAAACACTCAGATACTCAGACAAACTCAGCATCTCCAGAACAGACGACAGGTTGCCAATCTCTTCTTCTTCCTCTTTGGCCTCTTCCTCAGCAGCTGCTACAGTAGCCACTTCATTGGCCTGGACGACGGGACTTCCCTACAATAATTAAAATGAGGTCATCTTAAAAACCCATAAAGGTTGTGTGTTCCAGGGATGCCATAATACTACTTCAATTAATGTGCAGCATTTTAAGATCATCCTCATCCAAAATGTACTGATACCTGTTTCACATTAGGCAGAGCATTTCCATTGGTTAATGGACCTGATAAAGGTGAGCAGACCTTCTGATTGGACAGCAGGTCAAAAAGTATCAAAGAGCCTATAGATTAGGGGAAATATTAAATTGAAAGAAATTTGTAATACAAATATGAATACTAGTTTAGTTCAATACATGGTGTTGTTAAACACTAAATGTACTCTAATAGTGCATCCCTTTAGTTCAAGCTTTATCTAAATCATTTAAGGACAATGATTCAGAGCTAAAGCATGTAAAAGGAAAGGATTCTCACCCAAGCTGTGTCCAGACACGGACACTCTGCCTTTGAAGTCTGGGTTTCTTTCCATGAATAGTGTGTGTAAGCGGTTGATCTCAAAAGCCACGGTGTCCATAATGGTCTGACAGTAGGTTGGGCTGTTGTAGAAAAGCACGTCTAAAAGGGTTTCATTAGTGAAGTGACGCAAACGACCTGTGCTGGGCAGAGTAATCTTCTTTATCCTCCTACATGATTCAAAATGTAAAAGACAGAAAGAACTAAATTACAAAACAAAACGTTTATGATATAACAGACAACATAATTTGGGCAA